CAATTAAACAGGACAGTTTTATCAAAGGTTGCCAGTGGCAACGAGTAGAAGTGGGATGTAACTTTAATTACTGACATGTTAAACTATGGTACATGGTGATATACAACTAGATAATAACTTGGTTATTTATTGACATGTTATACTACCATACATGGAGATATACAACTAGATGACAGTTGATTTAATTACTGACATGTTATACTACTGTACATGGAGATATACAACTAGATGACAACTGACTTAATTACTAACATGTTATGCTATTGTACATGATGATATACAACTAGAAGACTTAATTACTGATATATACTATTCAAAAAAAGTAGGGGATATTTGATTTTTAAGTGTTATTAAAGTCACCTAATGAAACTGACGAAGAAACAAATGACAAAATGAAATGAAGTTCACATTCATCGATTTATTCCAAATGATCGTTAGACTAAGTAAGGCACAGACTGACCATTATAAGGGTAAAATGATACCCGGGGTCAAACGGCAAAGTTACCACAGCATCACAACCAAGTCAGTAACGGGTAAATCCTCCTCTGTTTGCCAAACAAGCATTGATCCGACGTGGCATACTCCTAATGAGACGTCTAAGGTCATTTTGGTCCAGATTGTCCCATTCCTGTTGCAACGCAGCAGCAAGTTCTTGGACATTGGCAGGACGTTGTTGACGTTGACGTAACCACTGTCCAAGCATGTCCCAGACATGCTCGATGGGGGAGAGGTCGGGACTCAGTGCTGGCCAAGGTAATGTGGTGATGTTCTGTTGTTGGAGGTAACCTGTAACGATCCTGGCCCTGTGACATCTTGCGTTGTCATCCTGGAAGATGAAACGGCGGCCATGACGTCGTGCGAACGGCACAACATGGACTGCCAAGATGTTGTCCCGGTAGTACTGGCCTGTAACACGCCCTGCAACAACATGTAAAGCCGTTCTTCCAGCAACAGTGATGCCTCCCCACACCATAACAGAACCACCCCCAAATCGATCATGTCTGATGACGTTAACGTCTTGGAAGCGCTCGTTTCGACGACGCCACACCCTCCTACGTCTGTCCAAAAAATCAACAGTGAACCTTGACTCATCTGAAAACATCACATTGCTCCAGCGTCGATTATCCCAGTGTTGACGATCCCTACACCAACGACGTCTTGCCTGAATGTGATGATCTCTCAAACAAGGGATCACGCGAGGACGTCGGGCGCGAAGGTGACCCCTATGCAGTCGATTCCGAATCGTCTGGTCACTCACTCTCACACCAGTGTCTGTTTGAAGACGAGCGCTGATCTGATTTGCTGTGATGACACGATTTCTCAAGGCCAAGGTACGGATAAATCGATCCTGGGCTTGAGTTGTAGCCCTTGGTCGACCTGAGCGTGGTCTGTCCTGTACAGATTGTGTATCACGGTATCTGGACCATAGCCTGCTTATGACAGACTGAGAAAAATTCATCGTCCGCGCCACAACCGCCTGTGTTGTGCCGATCTGTAGCATGCCAAGGGCACGTAACCTTTCATTTTGGGTAAGCCGACGCATATCAAAATTTGTTTTCTGGTCACTAAAACAATTAAACTGATGTTTCCACCCTGGAATTCAATGCCACAATGACTGTAACATTCAAAGTCAGAGTCGTGCAAATCTTGGGTTGGACCCCCATGATGATCCCAAGCATCACCTGCATTCCATGCGGTAGCTATTGGTGCGTTTGGGCGTCACATGTAACTGGAAATGTTTCTTCTGTTAGGTTCTATAGTGACTTTTTTCGTAGTCATTTGCATATTTTAGTATTATGCCCCCAAAATCAAATATCCCCTACTTTTTTTGAATAGTATATTATAGGACATACTACAATTTGTACTTTTCCATCCTGATCAATGGTTCATTATGAGGTTCGGCTGTCCACTGTCTATTAAGAATTGCTGCCATTGGTTCATTCGTGATTGGTTCAGTAATTGGTGTCAATAGTTGGTTACTTGATGATGTCTCAAATGTTAATGTTTGGTTACTTGATGATGTCTCAAAATATCGCAGGCTAGCGTTGACATCGAGAGATATACTACTGTACATGGAAATATTCTACTATATCACAGTTGATTTAATTACTGACATATTATACTACTGTACATGGAGATATACAACCAGAGTACAACTGACTTAATTACTAACATGTTATACTATTGTACATGGAGATATACAACCAGATAATGACTGACTTAACTACTGGCATGTTATTGTACATAGTTATTACTCTAGTAGATTAATGACATGCTATATGGTGATATACAACTATCATGACAACTAACTTAATTACAACATTTCACACTGAAAGATCCACATATAAATAAATAATTTATTTTCATGTTACTTTTAAACATTGAGAATGCTACACAAGACATAGTTACAGTTTCAGTTCTTCACCCATATTTGCAAATGGGTGTGGCAACGTCCGATGTGAGCTGGAAAAAGTTTACGAGCTTATTCCATCCACGCCAGGGACTTATAATCCTATATTTCCAATCACACATTGCCACCAAAAAGATCATGTTTGAAAAGATCGAGATATCTCAAAGATAAAAAAGAAAAGATTTTGTAAGTTGCAACTGACAAAGTTGATGTTTTAATTTTTCACCCATATCTCAAAATTGGCGTGGCAATGTCCAATGGCATCAACGCCAGGGACTATACATCCCATCTGACATTGCCACCGAAAAGATCACAATATACGAAAAGACTTAGATATGTCAAATGAAAAAAAAATAAGAAAAGAAAATTTTGTTACTTTTTTAGATATCAAATTTAAATTAAAAACAAGCCCAAAACAAACAAATGTAGGGTGTAGTTTTCCTGAATGAATAAAAAGGAAATTTGATTTTTATGGCAGTAGGAAAAAGTTTACGGGCTTATGATAAGAAAAGTTATAGACAACTGTGAAGCCTTGTACAGCTTTCTCAAAAGAAAATGAAAATTTTATTTAGCTAATACACTTTCACAATATAACATTAATTATCATCCGACTCAGAGTCACTATCCTCTGTATCACTACTTGCTTCATCAACGCCACTTTCATCAAATTCTAAATCACAGCTTTGTATATCTGTTATTATATCTATTAATTCCTCAGATGACAAAGGTTTTTCAGGTTGAACATAACACAGTATCAAATCATTCAAATCTGTAGCCGAATTATGTTCTATTCCAGCATATTCAAATAATTCTTTTGACTTGATATATTGTCTAGTTAATCTATAAAGATGTGTTGATAAATAATGGATTTTTCCACACATATATCGAAGTTCTTTTGTGGAGGAAGACAACTGTAGATCTTTAATTTCAGATCTTATATCATTAATTGCACTCAACGAGTATCGGTGATAAGCAGCAATTTCACAATGAACAAATGTCATTTCTTCATGTGCATGTTCTTTCAGAGAAGCTGCTTCTGCAGCTTTTATTTGATCTGAATTCAAAGAACACTCTGACAATTCATCAAAAATTGGCAACGTTGGTAAAGAAACATCACTGAACTCTGTCCTGGATGTAAAATTCCATTGTTAAGAATAGTTAATTCTTTCTTAATTTTGACAGAATTTGCTGTCAACTTTCTACCGATACGGGAGCCTAAAACTTGACCATCTGAAAATAATAATATATAATACATTAACTAAACTATATTCTTACTATTATTATTGAAGATATATTATGATATAACTATAAATATATCAACTGGCTGTGTTGAGACTAACACATACAGTCTTATAATTAACACTGATATATGTGATAATATTGGACCTCTATTCCCATCCCTGTAAATGACAATGTACAATTCCCTCTGTTCAAAATGAGTTACTAAAAAATAGTGGAACTGAGCTTGAAAATAGTAAAGTTCTTCTGTAACCCTTCTGTTAAAATTGTGTTTCCTGTCCACTCAACACAAACCGGGTTATTTCGAAACTAACATGTGTTCCAATTACATTAATTTAGTTGCATCTAGGTGTCTTTAGCATAGGGGGGGGGGGGAAATCAAAGTACCCAGAGATAGACCACCAGGTTAGGCAGGTGAACCTACTCCTTGTCATGTAAAGCAGGAATCAAAACCATGCCACTTGACTCAATGACAGACCTTACGATCTAAAGCGCATGCCATCCTACTATTATTACAATGAAGCAGTTTTATATAACTGATTACTTACCTGCATACTTTTTCATCAATGAAGACAAATACTGTCGTTCACTGGAATACTGTCTTAGTTTTTCAAGACTATTAATTCTGCGCTTTTTTTGAGCACTTTTCAAAATACGATTTAAAGGCTCATTTTCAAGATTGACATCACTTTCTACCACTGAATTGAACACATTCTTTTTTAATTTGGCTCTTTCTTTCTCGAGGCTTAAACAAAGAAGCAAATTATGGTATTTAAAACAAGCAATCCGAGTTAGCTGTGGTCCAAAATGTCATCAGTGAATAGAGCTTTCAAAGGAAGGGTAGAGAACAGTGAATGCAACATATGCCCACACCGATCAATCTTAAATATGTACAGGCAGCATCGATATTAAATGCAAGGACTCCCAACTACAGACTTATTATAAAGATATATTAATAGTTGATATTGACCAATCAGATTCCAGTAGGCTTATTAATTATGCAAAGAAAGACACTGATAACCAAATGATTTCAATGATCAACAAATACAATTGTAATAAGTACAGACAAAATATCTAAATAAATAGCCTCCATTATCTGCTTCCAGATGAATATGAACTTGGGATTACTAGAACAGATATTAAAACTCAAGAAAAGTTCTCCGTCTGGTAAAAATTTATTTTTGATTTGGCGTGTTTTGAAAGTTATATCAAGGGTGTTCAAATTAAGATAGCTGTAAAATTTGCAAGAGATCTGCAAAGCATTTTATGAAGTGCTGAAGTTGATGTTCCTGCTAAGGCAATAAAAGCAGTTAAAACAAATGTAAGAATACATTCATAATACCTTTCTAGATCTCTCTCAATCTTTTTCTTTTCTGTTGAATCAGCAGGACCTGTTTCTAGGATATGTGTCTGCAAATAAATATTTAATGAATCAACACAAAAATTGATCAGAGTTCGATCATTTGGGGTTTTTACAAATACTATCTAAAAATGTACATCATTAGTGCTTGTATAATTTATCATCATATGGTTACCGGCCATATTTTGTACAAATACTGTTATTATTATTATAATTTCATTTTTACAGTGCTACATTATAACAATAGTTATTTCTAAGCACTTTACTGGCATATTTATACAATGGTACACACGTGATTCTATTTATATGATACTCTAAAAAGATGAGTCTTCAGTTTAAATTTAAACTGAGCTAGTTGGATACATTCTGTGATGTCTCTGGGTTAATTACCAATTCAAAATCATAATGTCAGTGCTATTACTACATTTAAAACTAAACTAAAGACCATTCATTTAAAAAATATTTTAATCTGTGATTGTTTTAATAGGTAGATTATCCAGCGCTATTTTTAATTACATGTGGTTTTATCTAAATAAAAATTCATCATTTAGATATAATAGTGTCTTGTTCTATAGTATGTCCTTGTATAGCACACTTACACACATTTATGAGGCAGTTGTGTGCAGTAGAAGTGTGTAATAATAATATATCTTACAATCTTATAACTCATTTTAAGTTAGTGAGCACAGGGTTCTCTCTACTTGGCATCAACCAACCCTTATTTGGATAAATAAAGCTTTAAAACAGACACAAAAAAAACCCAACCAACAATACTACACAAGTTTGTCTACCAGATGTGATGAAAGACAACCTAAAGTGTCAGAAATTTTATCTCTAAAATATCTACCTTTTCATCTGACTAACATACAAATTCTCAACATATAATTCATCGGAATTCAAATTAGTTGCTTAAATAGAAAAATATAATAAGTTATTATGCAACAAGTAAATGGTAGTAAAAACAATACAAAGTATAATAAAACTAGGGCAAAATATCAAAATTAGTTGATGACACCAATGTTATCCAGTATAGCCTGTAAATAGTTTTTGAAGTAGAACAATTCCTTCAAATTTCAACAAAACCTGGCAAGAATTCTTTGACCTGTAGTGTGTTCATATGAAATTTTGGATGGACCCAGTTAACGATAATATACATCCACATATAACAGGGCATATCAAAATTATGAAGCTTACCAGGGACATTATCCAGTTCAGATTTCCATTTCATCAGCCAATTCTTTGCAGAATCAATATCAACTGAAAAAGAGATGTGTATTTATATTTAACAAATCAATCATAAGAAGGTCATGGTCAAATACTGTCTGCAATCATTTTCTAAGATCAAGCTAATTTTTCAAGACTTGTTGCGGTTTCCAATTCATGTGAGCCATGTAATTAACAATATATTGCATTTCTATTAAATTTGAACACATTTATTTTACTCATATCACATGTGTAGAGACCATATATGTTTACAACAATGTAATGAATTTATTTAATTTTATTACCATTCATATTAGTTGTTACACTACTAATAATGTCTGAACAGTTTGATATTGTCTTTTCAGCTTTCTGTATTTTACTATATAAACGCGTACCTGAAAAAGATGAGCAAGCTAATAACACTAGGGCCGAGGTGCCATTTACATTTGATGAAAAATGGTGAGAAACTGCTCTTACTATCTAGAATCTAATACATGTAGATGGCCATTAAGTTTTGGTCAACATAACTATTGGCCAGCAATCCATATATGTCTCTCAGCAGCTCTTTGAAGGGGGGCATATTGGTTAGGGTTAAATTAATCCCCCAAAATTGTGACCTCAAGTTTTCACATGATTTTTGGGAAGGGGTTATATCGGAGTACCCATACTATGTACAACTAAATGCATACATTTCTAATCAATGCAATAATTTCAAAATTCTAGGAGTCAACAAAATGATATAGGATCTTAACACTATGTTCTCTTTTCAAAAAGATCGGATGATAGCTTTAGCTGCTAAACTTTCTGAAAGAACAGACAAAGTCATCAAATGCAATAGCTTTAAATGTAATTACCAGAAATTAAATATGCTTTTTTGTCTCCCTTATGTCAATAGAGCTATGTCTTTATGTTTTTGTGAATGTATCTAATCTAGTAAATCATGAATAATCATTACCAAAATCAGAGATAATCTGTGATGTTTTATGAAGAACTGCCTCTGTTAGCAAATCACATCTGTTATCATATGACATTTCTTTGGTTATTCTTTTGAATCTTCGTAGGTAGCTCCATAGACGTTCAATGCCTTCTCCATCTGTCATTCCAGTGCCAGTCACATATCTCTGACCATATTTCAACTTTAAAAATGAAAAAAAAATCATTAAATTAAAGCTTTAGCAATTTAAGTAAGATAAATTGATTTTATGATAAAAAATTATATAACGCAACGCTGAGAGAGCAAGTATTTTAATTGAAACTATTTGACAGGTAGAATGAAATATAAATCAAATGTTGACATTAATAATATTCCATCCATATAAACCACATTTTGGTTTGCGAAATATATTGAATATTACTAATACTGTGAGTTTACCTGACAGTCTAGGTTGTGAGCAAAACTGTGGAATATTGGTACAGAAAACTTATAGTGACTCAGCAATTGAAAATTCTCAGTTTTCTGTTAAATAAAAAGTAGTTGTAAGAACATGAAAGTAAATATAAAGCAATATAATTGTATCTAAACAATGTGTAATAATTGTTGAACAACAGCTCATTGTATGACATCACATACTGACAATGCTGGCTTCATACTTTTATTGTATATTCAAATTGAAATAAATTCCAACAATGCAAAGAATTGGGGATAAACCATGCACTAACCGCCAGTTTTGAAAAAAAAATATAATAATATTACTAATTACTTCATAAACAAATATAGTGAGCTATTAATGGCATATATACAAATTTATTTTCTCTATAAAATTAAGGCACATGAACAAGTCTCTTCAATTTTAACCTCTAATCTAGTTTGGGGGTTGTAAACCATCAGTTTGGTAGGTAAATAAGCAGTACTTACCTGCAAGTGTTTGTGTAATGTGCAGGATATGTCATACATCACAATCTTGTCAACAGAAGTTGTATCTTTCTCCATTAATTTCTTTAATACATAAACTGCATACCCAAGTCTAATTTTCAATACAAAATGAAAAAGGAAATTGAATTGTTAATATTTCTAAAATTTATTTACAGTACAGTTACTTCAACCAATTATATATTTGAATTTTATTCTTTTAAAGGACACTATTGGTGTCAGTCATTATAAAATATGTGATAGAGCTCGTTAAATACATCCCAAATATAATTTTAACACAGAGATCATTGCTACGATAGCTGAGTTTTATTTATTTATTTATTTATTTATTTATTTATTCTTCAAGTAAAGGTTACAACATGACAATAAATTAATGTATTATAATAAGAACTAGTGTCGCATTACACGACTGGGAAAGTGACAACAATAAATACAGATATGTATATGAAAATAAGAACTATGTGCTACATTGTAATGTGGGATGCCATATGAGACAAGCATAGAGAAATATGATAGCTATGGTGTCATGAAGAGACCTTTACTTAGGATAGCCCATAAAGCCTGACGTATATAACATCCGTTGCTTATTTCCAATGGGGTCCAAAGTTGCCAAAGTCGCGTCAGTTCATCATTGGGAGGCAAAATTTAATAAACATGCCATCACAGCATTGTATCACAAATAATAAAATATATTTATGTCTACATGTTATACATCAACCAATTTTATTAATAGTAGATTATCAAACTTGTAGTATCACAGATTAACATTGTATTAACAATAAATACTTCTTGGCTGCAGCTTTAAAGCTGTAAAGTGAATCTAAAGACTTAATATCATTTGGTAAATCGTTCCAGACACTTATGGCGGTATAATAAAATGATGTGAGCTGATCTCTACCCGAGCATTTTGGAACCGCAAAATTGAATAAACTAGATCTTGTGCCATATTGATGAGTATCTCTAACACATTTGAATTTTGATTTAAGGTATGATGGACAATTATTATGAAAAATCTTATGTACGTGATTGAGTTTTAACTGTTTAACTCGGTTTTCAACATTAAGTATATTCAAATCAGAATATGAAACATGATCTCTACGTCCTAGCCCATTCACAAATCTAAGAACCTTATTTTGAACAACTTGTAATTTATTTTTAAGTGATTGATTCACACCAGAATACCAGGCTGAGCAGGCATAATCAAAGTGGCACTGAATAAGTGCAGAACAAAGTAAATTTTTGTTTTTTTTGCTAAGGCATTTATTATAGCGAAACAGAAATTCTAATCTTGAATTTGCTTTCTTAATAATGCTGTTAACAGTGTCCTCACCAGACAAGTATTTGTCAAAACGTAGACCCAAATATTTAAGGTTATCTGTTGCTTTTACGGTATGGTTATTGCAGGTTATTGTAAACTCTTTAATACTTCTTAGTTTACGTTTAGGCCCGAAGAGAATACACTCGGTTTTACCGAGATGGAGCGATAGTTTATTATCGATGAGCCATTCTGAACAGGAATCAAGAGCACAGCCAAGTGTTTGTGAAACAACTTCAGGATTCTGATCGGAAAATAATATTGTACTGTCATCTGCGTATAAAATAAGTTTACATTTTGAGGGGATACTGATAACCATATCGTTTACATAGCACAGAAATAATAACGGTCCCAGGATACTACCATGGGGCACGCCACAGGTTATGGAAGCAGGTTCGGATAACGTATCACCAATACTAACTACTTGTTAGATATGAACAAAACCAATCAGTGGACTGAACACCCATCAGTTTTAGTTTCTCACATAAGACATCAGGATCAACAGTGTCAAGCATTATCATCCCTGTAAAAAGATCTTTTGCATTTTGGTCTTTCAAGTGGTCCAGAAGGTGCATAAGACATGAGTCAGTAGAGTAGCGTCCACGAAAACCGGACTGATACTCATAGAGAAGGTTGTTTTGAGTGAGATATGACTCTAATTGAATGTAAATAGATTTTTCAAGTAATTTTGAGACAATACTCAGGACACTTACAGGTCGGTAGTTACTAACGTCCAAAGAGCTATTCTTTTTGTACAAAGGTTTAACTCTAGCTAGCTTCAAATCACCAGGTACGGTGTTTTCTGATATAGATAAATTGATAAGAAATTGAATGTGAACTTTTAAGACGTCAGCGCCATCTTTTAAGAATCTTGCCGGGATCTCATCGAGACCTGTACTTTTTTTCGGATTAAGAGAACAAAGTTGCTTGTAAATAAAATCTTCAGTTACATGATGTAAATTAAAAGTGCTTTTATGTACATTCTTTTTGGTGTAAAAATTCTGTAACAGAAGTGATTTGAAGTTAAACCGATTGCTAGGGGGAGGTAACTTTTGTACAAGAGTTGATGCAACCGTTGTGAAGAAGTTATTGAAATGGTTTGAAACAGACTTTGGGTCATGGATATTAGTGTCATTTACATTTAAGACAATGTTTGCTTTATCCTTTTTATTGTTTTTATATCCAAGATCTTTAAGATTTTGCCAAAGTTTTTTTGAATTATATTTGTTCTCTTCTAATTTGTTTGCTAAATATGTTGATTTAACTTTCTTTATTACTCTTTGTGTTTTATTTCTAATTTTACAAAAGTTTTTGTAATCATTTAGATTTTCATTTTTTCTGAAACGCCTAAGATGCCAATCTTTTTGATATCAATTCTAGAATTTCACTATTTATCCATGGTTCAGTCCTTTGTTTTAATCTAATGTGTTTAATGGGTGCCACAGAATTCAATACTTCAGTAAATATATCTTTGAAACTTAACCAAGCTTCAGTGACATTTGTGCTATTAAAAAGATTTTCCCATTTTGCTTCAAGTAATTTTTGAATAAATTCCTCTTTGCAGTATTGTTTTAAAGATCTAATTTTAATTACAGTATGCTTAGTAATTGGGATCCTGTTACATTTCCTAGTACAATAGGTAATGTAATGATCACTGGGACCTATATTTATTACCCCAGAATTACAAATTTTTTCACCAAATTACACAATATGTGATCAATAATACTTTTAGTGGTTCCTGTCACTCTTGTAAAGTCCACGATTATCTGTTGAAAGTTATAAAGCTTTAGAATGTTAGTATACAGTTTATACAATGGGCTACACTTTTTTGACAAGCATATGTTAATATCACCTAGGAGTATGGTTTCATTGTCAATGTTCAAATTCGAGATAAGTGTTTCGAAGTATTCCAGAAAGTTATTTTGCTTAGGTGGCCTATAAATAGTTCCAACAAGTATTGGTTTGGTTTTAGGTAATAAGAGTTCAATAAACACGGATTCAACATCATTATGTTGTAGATCTGTTCTGTTGGTTGTGGCCAAGTCTGATCTAACATATAAACATACTCCCCCGCCCTGTTAGCTCTTTTTCAAATGTGCAACTTCAAATTAATTTAAAGCTGAAAAAATGGAATTACAAATTTACATCTATCTTCCTCCACATACACTCAGCAATTTAAATTTGTTTAGTGTTGTCATTT